CACTTGCTAGCCCCTCCTGAAAATGCTTTGTAACTCTACCACTGCCTTTGCTGTTCACCCTCCGTTCCCCACCAGAAGAGCTCTGCTAGCTCCTTTCTGCACCTTTCTGTGCACATCCAGGGTTGGGGGGCTTGCAACACTGGGGTCAGGAAGTGTTGTTCAACCCCCACAATTCTTGGACGTGACACCTGAGCAATGAAGTGTGGCATTTAGCATTGCTGTGAGCAGCACTAAGGAAACAGATCCAATTGTAATGTAGAGATTAGAGCAGCAGGTTGCATGGATGGGAAGACATTCCATACTAATCCTGCAGAACCAGCCAGCCTGAGCAGAGGCAAGACACAGCACAGGTATCCTTCATCTACAGGACTTCCAGAAAGCAATGAGCCCAAGTTTATCTCTAGGAATGAGCAAAGTAGCTAGGGGCTAACAGCATGGGTATTGTCACAAAGAATGGATACAAGGACAACTTCTTATCTAGAATGAGTGGGGGAAAGCACTTCTAGTCCTCAGCATGTAAAAAGATGACAGAAGAACTAGAGAAAGTGCAGAGAAGGGGAATCCAAAAGATAGGAAGGAGAGAGGATGCACTAAGGTCTCAAATGTACAAAGTCTTTATAGATTTGAAGGGCAGAGAGAGACCAGAGAGATCCCCCTAGTCTGAACCTGCCTGCAGAACGTCAGCAAGTGCTATCAGCATCAACCCAAATAAAGACTGGGTCTATGTAAAAGAAAGGCTAGAGCATGACCTGAAATTATTTCAGGACTTCAGTTGAGGGACAATTCATCGTACCCCCGGGTAAGTTGTTCCTGTAGTTAATAACCTGTTGTGTAAGAAGAAAATAGGGTGCACCGTATTCCTTGAATGAATCTGTCCAGTTACATTTTCCAGCCACTGCATTCTCTGGAAGATTTAAGAACCTTTACCAATTAGAAACTTTCTGTACATAGAGGTGCTTTTGGCCCACAATCAAATTGCTGCTAAGCCTTCTCTCTTTTTCAGTTGAATAGATAGTTTCTTTAGTCTCTCACACTGAGAGAGGGTTTCTAGACCTAAGTTCAATCTCATGTTTCTTGTATGTACCTCTTTTAGCTTATCAGCATCCATTTAGTGTGAACATGAGAATTGGATACAGCTTCCAGTAATGAGCTCACTAATGCTGTAGTCAGTAGTAATAATGCTTTTGTATTAGTGATCTACATTCGAGTGCATCCAAAGATTTCAATACCCTTCTTCAATGATGATTCCTAAGGTAACATCTTACTTTATGTAAAGTCCATGATTTATTTTATGGACATGCTTAAGCATGCAAGATAGGGGCTTACAAAGATTATGTGCATCACAGACAACAGCTAGTTTTTAAGTACATAATACACATGGTGGGCCAGAGTAAAAGAAGCAATAGTTAGGAACGAGATTAGGAAAAGGCACTCAGCCCTACTCCTTTTGAAACCAGTGGAGAAATACCCCTTGACTTCAGGGATAGCAAGATTGGAGCCAATGATCTTAAGAGGTAGAGCAACCGGGCTGGGAAACTGACTCCACTGCATGGCTAGAGGTAACTTCTGCGTAGAGATGACAGAAAAGATATCAGAACTGAATGAAAGAGTGAAGAGCCTGCAAAATGCAAAGGGTCAGCTGAGGGAACCAAGAGACCTTTTGCAGGCCAACTTCCCGGGGTTGTGTGACGCAAAGTTTTACAGGATATTTACTACAAACATGTCTAACGAGTCTTCTCTGTCCCAGGCCTGGTACATGTCAGCAGAAATCCCTGTAAACCAAAACACATCCACAGTCAGCTCACCTGGGATTAATTTCCGCTTTTATGACGGATGTTTCTAGCTGTTGTTTTAGCTTCACTGCAAAGCAGTGTCCTGCGAGATTTTGTGCCAATGGGCCTGTCTCGGCTGCTTGTGCCTAAGCAGGGAGTGGTGTGGTGAGGTGCACCATGCCTGCTTCTGTGCATGCTGCCTTCCCAACCTGATGCCATGTCACCACCCAGTGGTGCGGCACTTGTTGGATCCAGGCAGCTCTTGCTCTTTGCTGAGCCTGCTGATGCACGTACGCCACTTGATTTCCATTTCAGGGGAGAGACAGCTTATGCAGAGCTCATGCTGCGGTCCTCATTGCAGTGATCCCTGGTGCAGTACTGAAGCACACAGACATGCCCAGTGCTTAGGAGGAACCAGTGCATGCTCTCTTTTTTTCCTGGAGGTTTGTCTATGTTTTCATGTGTTTTGGTGCTACCTCTGGGGCATGCTTGTATACTGCCTAGTGCCTAGAAGCAAGGGCCCCATTGTGCTGTCCTAACAGCGATCTGCACATAGAGGATGCCATATAAATGAGCTGGTTCTTCCAAACCCACAGATTAGGTGCAACTTAGATTCATTGTGCAGGCTGTTAGTGGGGAAGTTTGTGCGGGGAATTGCCAGACAGAAGGAAAACCATGTGGAAGGTGTGATGAGCTTCCCTTTAAAACATGACTCCCTTTGCCAGAAAAAGTCTGTTCTGGAGAAATCCCCCATGCTGGTAGCATAACTATCCTCTAGACTACTGTATTTGGAGACGGTCTTTCACCATCCACATGATCACTGAGATGAAAGGAATGAAAGAAATTATAGACAATTATAAAGACATTAAGGGAAATAAATGAAACCCTAAAAAAAATGCAAACCACATACATTCACCCGATGTCTGTGTTTCCAATGCTCCCGATAGTCTCGCTAAAAACAAAAGGAAACAGTCATTTGGATTTAGAGACAAGCAAGAGTAAAGGGCCATAACATTAGCATTTCAATAGTATTTTTCATCTTTGTTTCTTGTTCTCCACACTGTTTTGTGCCAAGCACGTTGTCAGGGCTTTGGAAACGATCACTGATAGTGCTTTACAGATTCTTGACCACATCCAGCTGCTCTGAGGTGAGTGCACTGTCTTGTTGAGACTACATGGCTGGGAATGTAGATGCTGGAAATCTGCCTGGGACTCTGCCACTGTTCTGCTGGATGGCCTTGGGTGACACACTTCATCTCACAGGTCTCATAGGCCCACTCCTATGGACGGTTCACCTGTGTAACTGCATTGCTTCACCCTTATGCAGTTTGGGATTGTAATTCTCAGTGGTGGAATAGGACTGCCCTTTGAACTTAACATTTGGTGGCTGAAATGGCTACATAACACATGAGTTTCTTCTTTGCATTTGGAACCAGGATAAAACCTTGGAGCACCTCATATCCCCACTTACCTCCCTGTTTTGGCTGCCATGGGAGCAAGCTTGGAGAGGAGAGATGGGGAGAGCTCTAAGCAAGGCCTAGATTATGACCTAGTGGTTAGAGCACTATGCTGGGATAAGACGATGCAGGTTCAAACTTTTTCTGGGTCAGCAGGACTTAAGACCCATGTTTGCTGTTTCCTGGGCAAGTGGGTGCACCAATTAACGTCCTTCTGGTAAGCAGGGGCAGACAGTCCTCAGGCTTGCTCTCTGTTATAGTGGTATTGCAATCAGAAGCTGAGAAACCAAAGGTGTGGCCTGCATGTCAGGCCCAGTGCTGCTCCAATGGCAAGGCTGCTAGGGATGCCCTGGTGTGCTGGGACAGATGCACCCAGGAAGGTCTCCCCTTCTGGCAGCTGGAAACATTCACTGCTTCAAACTAAACAGTTGGAAGCCGGTGAAACTATCAGAGGAGCCATGACCAGGCCTACAGGCTCACAGGTCTTGAGAACTTGGACTTTTGGGCAAAGACTGCCCTCCGGTCCTCAAAAGCCTTACGGCAGCACCGAGATCTTCCATCTGCAGCCCAGCAGCTAGGCAGGATTGCATATGTGGGGCCTGGTTCTCCAGCTCGGGGCAGCCTATATGGACTGTTTCCCTTATGCAGTGGTTCTCAGCCTTGTTAGGCTCAAGGAACCCCTTGGAAAATGTAAGCTTTTAGTCTTCACTTGTATGAGTACAGAAAAATATTAGAGCAATTCTTCTATTGCAAAGACGTTTGAAGGGCCACAATAGGCCAGCGTGGTTTTAAAAACCCCTGGATTTGTCTTGGAAATCTCTGGGCTTATCTTGTGGAATATGTTTGCACTCCTACAAGTGCTAACATTGTGTGGCACCCTGTGGCACCCCTAAAAGTATCTCACACCTCAGAGTGCTGTGGCACCCAGCTTGAGGATTTTATCCCAGTGGATTCTGGATGTACAGCACGTGTAGCTGAGAGAGATGCCCTTGCTCTAATGCCCATCTGCTGAACATGTCCTCCCATCAGCTGTGGTTGTGTAGCTTGATCTGGGCATGGGGAGGAAGCATACAGCATGGTGGCAGAATAAATTAGCCTTGTATGGAAGTGCAGAGTCCCTGACAGTCTGGTCCCACTGTTGCACCAGTGAAAAATCTGGTTACAAGCATGCAGAGAGTTGGGCAGAGCCCTGCACACCTTCATACTAAACCTAATCTAATGTAGGGACCACTCTGTCCAGAGACCCCAAATGATCCTCCCCCTCCACCAGAGCTCCCACTCTTGCTGCACTTTCAGAAAAAAATTACCTTGATTGTTCAGTGTCCATGGATGAATCAAATGGGATCCACAAATACAGAGAGGATTCAGCTGGAATGATCTTGATTTGCTGCAGCCCCTCTTCTTCCTTCCACTGCCACACTGATTCAAGGTTTTCTTCCACCCTTTCCTCTGCCTCCTCATCCCCAGTGTAGTGAGCTGCCAGTTGTGTAAGGAGGTCCACCTTGGGCTGAAGAGCTTTCAGAGTGTTTAACACAGCACCATCCCCAATGAGGT